AACGTTATACTGGGACTATAATAATGTAGGAATCTAGTCAACCAGGGTGTACGAAACACTCAAACTGGAAGACAGTTGTCCAAAAACAATTCGAATATGAAAGTGAGAATTAGCAGGTACTTTTCATCGTAAAGGTGAACATATTAGGTACCGGATGACGTCATACCGTAAAAAAACACGGATTTGCGAGTGGTGAAATATGATCTATAAAACAGTTAGCTTAATAACAGTTATTACCTTTTTTACTCCCTGATCATGACCCTTCGGCTTCCTTTATGGCCAAAACAGCAAAAATACACTACACACTGATAGCAGATTTCCGGCTTTTCAATGTTAAGCTTACTTTAAAGCGCTACGTAACGAGTACAATTACACTATTACTGCTACATAACATATTTTTCATAACAAACCCTCTGCAATAGATTGGTAGTATCCGTGACTTTGTCTACGGTTGTCGGAAGTCTGGGTCCTTTTGAAAACAGTACTGATATCCCCTACTATTGGGCAATCGATATTAGTTTGACGGGATAGTGTTGTCCATAATACCGAAGAAAATTACAAACCTTAGATTATTTCCTTTCATTTTTCCGATAACATCATATAAGACAGTTAGGAACGAACATGCGGACAGTTAGTCACAGGCGGCAGCAACAATTATTTTAGTTAAAAAACGAACTTTGGCTTTCGATATCTAGAAAACAAGTCAATACAAAACCGATTACCATTTTAAAACATAAGACTAGCCAGCTTGGCTGAAGAAACACATTGACTTGCGTAGAAGCAGCAAAAACCCAGGAAACAATGCTTATTCGAAGTAAATTTCACACCAACATATAGAAAATTACACTAACTGCGGCATTTTAGCACACTGAAACATCAAATTACATAGGTACGCAGAAGAAATAGCTGAAAGAAGCACGGAACGAAGAAAGCCGACCACCATTGCTTAGAAAGATGGCGGATATAATAATTCCCGCCTCATTCTGATTGGTTGCTAAGCTGAAGAGAACATTTACGAAATTAAGTTGCGTTTAATTGCAGCCAAACAGAATATTCTATCGATCCCGAGAACCTACTTAAATTTACGCTGAACTTTCTTCGTTATTCACTATTCAACCATGTGGAACAAACTCCCAGTAAACCTACGTTGCAGTATAACTAAAACCCGATAAAAGAAGTATCGTTGATGAATTTTGTTGTGAACGTGATCTGTGTCACTTATTAAACATCAGGGAGATTATAAATGATTTATTCAAATAACGTCCGATATCTATCTAATTGACTATAAATCAAAGTATAGGATTTGGAATTCTGTTCGTTTTTTCAGTTGTTGTTTTTTGTCATTGACGGAGATCGACGAACTGTTCAGCATCCAGTGACCAACTGCCGGATAATTCGTCTAGAGCTCAGTGGCATTTCACTTGCCTTACAGACACATCCATTACTGAACTTTTCTTCGTGTAAATCAGTGATTTGTGCAAAACTCGCGTTTGCAGAAAAATTTCGGAATTCCCATTTATTTTGTCTCATTTTTTGCCCATGATCAAGTCCTCAACAAAAAGAAGTAGCTCTACAATGCTACAAAGCAACTAATTTTCAAGAAAGCAGTCACAAAGCAAGGAGCGAACCAAAGTGTATTCTAAAAGAAAGAGAAAGGTTAGTTTACGTTCTTTGCAAAGACTTTGTGAATTCCACGCAGAAGCGGACTACATAAGTTCGAGAACACCTGAAAATCTAAAAGCATCACAGACATTCAATCAGCCTGGACGCGCGATTTTCGAACGGGAAGTTTAGTCCTAACGTGATTTGCATTTATCAAACTTTTGCTGTGTTCTTACGCAACAAAAGTACCATTTCAGTTCTAAAGAATCTATCCTGAGCTATACGTTCGGTAGATTACTTTTTTTTGAGTCTCACTATATTAAATAGTTACCTGTGGTTTTGCCTCAGCTTACTATTCGGTTTTTTTTGTTTTTCACGTATAGACTAGTTTCAGTTTATATCACTCGTTTTGTCCATTTTTGTCCGTTTTCAGTGTGCTTTTTAGTGTTTTTTTAAAAGGTCTTAGGCTCTTGCAAGCATCTATAACATAGTTTGCTTCAACACAGTCATGAAAAACTCATGCAAACGTCCGGGATGCCGTTTTGCTGTCACAACTGGCATGCAGTGCGACAACTGCAAAGGTTGGTTCCACGAAGCATGCACAGATCTGACAGCAACTTCTTACAACAAACTCAGCAAGTCAGACCAAAAGTGGGTATGTGTCACGTGCAGCACGGACGCAGTTGTCTTGCTGAGTAACATCATTGTCCTACTGACAGGTCTTCGGAACAAGTTGTCAGTTAACTTGGATAACACTAGTAAAAAATCCGGTCGACAAACAAGAGCGTGTGACGGACTCAAAAATAGGGATGTCGACAGGCATACCATCGATGGAGCATCCATCAACACTAATGACGACGTGTTGAGGCTCAGCACCATCATTACGTCGACAGTACTAGACTCCCTAAGCAAACTCGGGTCTCCCAGCTCAGGGTCCCTGGACACAACAGTGGTTCCCAAAAACCCTGTAGGTGATTCGACCCACGTTAAGAGAGCCCAAAAGAACCAGGCATCACCGCCTAAGCCGAGCAACCCAAGTGTTGC